TTATACTTTTTCAAACTTTTATATTCGAATCTCATGAGCAACAAAAATCTCTCAAACTTTCTATTTAAATGTACTTTATATACAGTTTATTTTTTCGTCAACTTCACTTTGAAAAAGTAAGAATAAAAATTAAGTTTTACTCTCTCATATATATATAAAGAGAGAAAAAAAAATCATATACACAACAAACTTTTTACTTTGCTGTAAATGTTTAAAATTGTTTCTTTATTTCTGCTCTAGAGTTTTATATATTCCACTCTGCATATTGTTAATTTTTTTTTTCTTATATATTCAAAGTGGAGAGACTAATTAATCAATAAATTTTAAATATTATATTATTCACGATTAAAAAGGGGTAAAAGGAGAAATTATTAGCAGTTTTGTTTTAGAATTAAAATCCATAGCAATCAAGTCGAAGGCTTATTGTAAATACCCTATTCTTGAAAAGGTTTCCCCTTTGATACAAGGTTTTCAAGTGTGAATAATTAATGGTTATAGCTTGTGACAAATCTCTAGTGTATAGAAATTAAAGAAAATTTAAGCCACGAGACTTCAATTTAATGATATAAATGTAGAATAGAAAAATTTTCCAGAAAGATAAAAAAAAAATTTTTTTACAATTTAAAAACCATGGTAACCGTTGCTATGGTGATTGTTACTATGCTAACTATTGTTAGGTAACCGTTGCCTATACACCGAAAAAACGATATTTTAATTTTAAGAATTTTCAACTTATTTTAAGAATATGCGAGACTTAAATAGGCCCAACGAATATATTCTTAAATTAAGAATAGAATCTTCTTATATTAAGAATATTTTCTTAGAATCACTTTTTTAGAATATAATCTTAAAATTAGTATATTTTCTTCTTGTATCAAGAAATATACTTTTAGCAGTTTTAAGAATATACTATAAACTTAATTTAAGAATGGTAAATACTTAATTTTAAACCAAAATATACATAATTTCAAATAAAGAAAAAGTACAGCATTTTTATTTTAAAAATATTACTTTTATTAAAGTTTTCAAAAAAGAACACAATTTTAATACTTAAAGACAATGTTAACCAATTGTCGAACATTTTTTTCAATTTGGGATCACAAAAACTTAAATTACGTAGATAAGATTATGAAACCGCAATAATATTTTTTTTATAAATTTTTAAACGTGAAAAATTAAAACTAAACAACTATTATTACAATTGTAGAGAACAATACTATGATTGTCAAAAAAAAACACTCCGACGCGCACGACGACTCGTTAGTCAATGGCGACGCGAACAAGCTAGCAGCACGTCAATTCTAGCGCATATTCTTGTTTTAAGAAGAAAAAGATTTAGTACATAGAAAATATTCTTAAAGTTAGAATCTGCTTAAGAATATTATTAAGAATATTTATGTAAGAATAAAACATTCTTAAAACTAGAATATTTTAAAAATATTTTTAAGAATATTTTTTTAAGAAAATAATAATCTTAAAACTAGAATACCGTTTTTTCGGTGTAGTGATCGTTGCTATTGGTTGTCGACGCAGAGTGGGGAAAAAAGTAGGCGGAGCTCCTCATGTTCCTGTGAAGACTAGGCTGAATAGGCGGAGCCAATAGTAATTCTATTGGTTGTCATTGTGGAGTGGGGGATAGAGTGGGCTGAATTTCTTAGAATTAAGTAGGCGGTAGTTAATTATAATTCTATTGTCACCGAAATGTAGAGGGGGAAGTGGGCGTTGCTATTTTCAATTCAACAAATCAAATCGAAAAGCGGAGCCATCAAAGTGATCTATATCTATAAATTCTCGAAATATTGTAATACACGAATGATGGTTTTGAGGCTTATCTGATTCTGATACGCATTCCATCAATTTGGCATATATAACATATTGTCAGATTGGTGAGTAAAATTTCCAAGGGAGAATAATAATCCATAAGGATCGATCTTGCGTGACGGGAAATGTGAATACTTCTCTCTCTCGCTCTTTGTGGAGCTGTAGCAATATATGGTGGACGAGGATTTAAAGGGTAATACGTGGAGCTGTAAGAGAAAATAGGGTGGGTTTTGAGTGGCAGCCACTTATTATTATCGTATAATCAGCTATGAGGTGAGTTGAGGTCGAGCGAGTGCCAATATCCGGTAATATGCACATGCAGCCCAGTTTTACCAACATTCGGTCAGCATTATGCTCTCTTCCGTATTTCTCTCTCTCTCTCTCTCTCTCTTTTTTTCTCTACCCCCAGTGAAAATTTATCCTCAGTCATTTTTTTCTCGCAGCATCTGTGATGACACTAAATGCTACTTTCAGAATCGGAACATTCTTACCACTCTACTCCTTTATTTTTTATTTTCATCCCATTTTTTTAGGTTTTCGAAAATAATTTACGCATAATTATCCATGAGTAGTGTGTAAATTAATTTTTTAATCATTAAAACTTTTTTTTTTTAATATTAATATTTAATGAAATATTGTGCAAGAATATGAAAAAAAATTTTTGATTTAAAACGAAATAATTAAATGTTAAATTATTCATTTTTTTTTTTTTTTATTAATATTTCGGAAAATGAAGTATTTTCAGTAATTGAATATGACAAGAAAGAAAAGAAGAAGAAGAACAAAAGATCGTCATTTTGTCTTGGAAAGAAATTCTCTCATTTTGGTCACGTATTTGTCAAAAATTCAATTTAAGAAATATTCTAGCTTCGAATAATTACTCTGAATCATTAAAAAGAAAAATTGTTTCAATTTCCAATTGTTATTTTTTGATTAACAGTAATTAAATTTATAATTACATATATTGAAAATATTGACAAATTTTTTTTGTGCAAAAATTAAGAGGGCGCAAAATGAGTCGAAATGAATTAAAATGTAAAAGACCAAATAAATAACAATGAAAATTATTTTACAATTAAGAAAGAGAATTGCAGTATATTTAATTTAAAGTACCTTAGCTCATCAATTTGAGTTTTATGATTTATTATATATATACTATTTTGCTCTGAATTACATGGTTCATCCATCAGTGTTTCATGATAAAAACTTATTCTATACCTATACTAACCGTTTTGTCAACGAGAAAAGTTCCCCACATGTGAGTGACATAACAATTACTGCATGGGAAGTCACCGTCAAATCATAACAAGAGGGTAAGAGAGAGAGAGAGAGAGAGAAAAAAAAATTAAATATTTCCTAAGGCAAAATTATTCGAGTTCTTTTCTTTCATATATGAGCAAAAAGAAGAGAAAAAAAAAGACAGTGACTGACATAAGGTCATAGATTAACTTCCCTCTTTCATTTTTTTCTACTTGATTTACGAACTCCAATCCTAAAACGTCACAAATATATATACTACATATATAAAAATGAAAAGCTTAATTGAATTTTTTCACCTAATGAATATTAAAATTTTGCAGAAAAATTTCTTTCCACAGACGTGATAATATTATTTTATTACATAATTTTTTTTTTTACTAGATATTTTGAAATTCACCGAGTGTATTCATTCAAGCGAAAAGAATAATTTTTTTTTACTACACTGAGAAAAATTTTTAGTCAAAGCAATCAAAATTTGTTTAATCCACCAAAAAATTTTTCTTGGTATTTAAGCAACTAAACTATTTGTTTGAGTCAACCAAAAAAATTGGTTGAGTTTTTTTGTTGGCATAACAAAAATGTTTGGTTGATCAAACAGTTTTTTTTTTGTAAAATTAAATACCTTATACCTTATTTCTTTTCTTTTTATCTTTTTTATTTATTTCATTATTTATTTATTATCAATTTTACAATTGAATTTATATTTAACCAATTGAAATATTTGTGGACTTTGAAAAATCTCATCTCCACCTGGGATCGAACCTCTGTTTTATAAAACTGAAGGTCGGGAGCAACCAAATTTTGCTTAGGACAACAAACGATCATTTGGTTTTTTAAACCAAACTATTTTGTTGTGTCATATTATTTTGTTGTGGTAACCAAATTTTGGTTGGAATTTAAAAATGTTCAACCAAATAATTTTGTTGGCCTAACCAAAGTTGAGATAACTCTACGACTTTGTTTCAGCCAACCAAATTTTCGTTACAAGAACCAAAATTGCCTAACCAAACGATTTTGTTGCAAACACTAAATTTCTTTTCTCAATGTATTAATATTAAAAAAAAAAAAAAAAAATTTAAATCATTTTAAAATAAATTGCAATAGAAAAAAAAATCAAAATATGAATGAATGAATTAAAGTAGATGAGAGTTAAAGTCAAAGCAATACAATTTCATCTGTGGAAAATATAATTTTTCGAGGCGGAAAATAAAAATGTATATGTATATATATTTTTTATATAAGAAAGAGAAGAAGAGATAGAACCAAAAAAAAAGTCACGAAGCGAAACTTCTCTTGAATAAATGGGAATGTGTGTATATATGTAGTTGTGTTTTCATTTTTCTTTTTTAATTTAAAACCCCTCGGATTCGTTCTTTTTTCTTTATGCCATGCTGGATAGTTAGTGCACACGCGTTTTTAAAATACTCGACGCGAAATATAATATATGATCTCTCTCTTTCTCTCTCTCTCTCTTTTCGCAATTTAAAGTAGAAATTATTATAAGTATAATTGTTCTAAACAAATCATGTAGCCTACCCGTTTTTTTTTTTTGTTAGAAAATAACTCTTTCCATTTTTTACACATTCTTAACACATTTTCAAATATAATTAATTTCACACATAATTTTACCATTATATTATAGAATTATTATTATTATTATTATTATTATTATTATTTTTACTTTTACTTTTTTTTATTATTATTTTATTACTATTTTTAAATTATTATTTTTATTGTATTTAAAAATATATGTTATTACTTTTAAAAAATAAAATTTTCTGAAATGATTTTTGTTTCCTATGATAAATTATATCATTTATTGGCATCTATATATATATGATGACATTATTTACACTGTGGTCGATTTATCTTTTTATTTAACGTAATTCTTTTTTCTTTTTTTTTTGTCTGCCTTTAAGTGTGAAAACTGAAGGATCGAGAGGACGAGAAGGAGGAGAAATGAGGCGGACGTGACGTCACAATGACATGATGAAGAGCCTGGTGGGGATCATGTGGATAGTGTTGGTGCTCATATCAGGTATATATATATATAATTATATAGATCAAAAATTTAATCGAAAAAATAAACCATTTTTCTTCATTTATAATAAACAATAGTTTATACGTATATATATTTGGATTTCAATAAAATAAATCAGATTATTTTGTAATCAAGAATCATTGAGTGATTATCTACTCAAAGTAGATTCCTGTTACCGACATTTATCGACATGCACAAAATCGATAGAAAAATCAAAAAGAATTAACCTGTTTTTTTTCTACACATAAAATACAAAAGTTATATATATCTCTCGCATAAAATTTGCGAGGTAAATTGATCTTTAAAGAACCTCTTGGATGGATTTAATTTCATATAAAAAAAAAATCGAACGTAATATTGAAGAGTACCGAGCACGAATGCTTGGCATTTGCCAATAATATAGACGTTTTATAGTCATTAATTGAAACTGCAGACAATATATATATATATATATATATATATATATATATATATATATATATATATATATATATCCCACGTGTCTTGTGAGTATAGAATCATCTCGTGGGAGTATTTCCGGTTTCTCCAAGATCAGCCCGTCAATAGTCGTTCCCTCTCAACAAGATAAACATCTCTGGGGTCCTTTTCGGCTTTTCCTTACACTCACAAATTTTCCCTTCTCTCTCTCTCTTTTTTTTTTTTCTTTTGCTTCATGGTTCCTTTATTTCCCACTATCAAGAGTCACATTAGCTCCCATTATCGCACTTCAATTAATATATCCCTTGTTCATTTCCTTTTTATTATATTTTTTTTTCCACACATGTAGAATAATTAGAATTCAATTCAATGCGTTTATAATTTATCATCTCAATTTCACATAAATACATGAGGTATAAGAAATTCAATATTTATTCTGTCATTCTTACTCAGGAATTTCTATTCAATTACTTCTTTTTGAGTCTTAAAAAAAATATTTGTTCCTATTATTATTATTATTATAGAGAATAATTCCAGAATTAGGGAGACGCAATTCGAAATTTTAGTATAAAAATATTGATCTACATATTTATAACTAGAAAAAAACTCGCATTGAAAGATTTTTCTCTATATTCCATTTCACCATCCAAATGACCTTATTTCCATTTTTATGCGATATATATGAGTGCGGATACAAATTTTTATTCGGTATCATAAAAAAAAGAAGTTTTTTGGGAATATTATTAGTTAAAATAAAAGATGACATTGTTCAATATAAATTGAAAATTGGAATTCTAGACGAAACAGTAAATCTTCGCAGTAGAGTGTAGCTGTTTTTTTTTTTATGGAATTGTTACATTTATCCGATTTTTATATTTGAAATCTCTATTCAACGATGAAAAATCCAGTAATATATTCGCATGACTATGAACATCACATTTAAAAAAAAAAAAAAAAAACTACATTTACATATCGTTCAGAATTTTTTTTTCAAATTCTCTTTTCAATCTGAATCAATTTTTTTTTCGATTAATATAACTTGAACTCGATTCTAAATATAATATTCTCTATAAATATCATATTTTTTTTAAAAAATAATATTTTTATTTCAAAATTTCATCGCAAGAAATAATTTTTTGAATAAATTCTAATTCTATAAAACTCTGAGATCGAAATAATGTAAATGTGATAAATATTTTTGGCATTGTCTTGTATAATTAAAGATTAATCAAATAAAGTTCAATGGAGGTTAATTTGCGAAAACCAATTTATCCCATTCATCAATTAAAGCAATTAGCATGGCAGCACTTCGTGCAATGTGAATTGATACTGGTATAGAATGACTATTCTGTTTAAATATTCGCCATTGTGTGTAATGTACATGTATGTATATGTATACTTTAATGGATTTCACAGGTGGATGGATTCTCATAGAACTTCCTTTAGATTGAAAACACACGTAGAATTCTCAGATAAAAAGTGTCGAGACATATTCTTTAATCTAAAAGCTTTTTCACTATCAAAATCATATATATATATAACACCATTTTTCACACAGTCATTCGATAAAAATTTCTCTTTTCCAAAAAAAAAATGTACATAAATTAGAAAATAAAACTTGCAATAATTTCTGATAATTTACTAGAATAATTATTTAAATCACCTTTTTTTGGGAATAATTTAATAAACTAGTTTGAAAAAAATTTTTTGATGTAAAAATTATAGAATTTTAAATGCGAGAAAATTTTTCTAGTATTGAAAAAAATGGAGAAAAAATGATGAGATAAGCTTTAATAAAAAAAAAAAATCCTTTTCTTTACAGGATGCTCAGGGAATCCAGATGCGAAACGATTGTACGACGACCTGCTCTCGAATTACAACAAACTTGTGCGACCCGTCGTGAACGTGACAGATGCTCTGACAGTAAAGATCAAGCTCAAGTTGTCCCAGCTCATCGACGTGGTAAGTTGTTATATTTTCCAAGAGAGATGGATCATTTCCCAATTTACTTAAAAAAAAAAAAAAAAAAAAAATACCCTTCATACAATTTGTCACACAACAAAACCAAATTTCCCGTTTATTTTTTTCATTTTTCAAAAAAAATTCTTTTTTCTGTTTCAGAATTTAAAGAATCAGATCATGACAACGAATTTGTGGGTCGAACAGGTAATTTATTTAAAATATATAAATACAATTTATTTTTCTCTGAGATAAATATATATACTGGGTATAGAACAAATTTAAATTTAGTTTAAAAATATATTTTTTTTTTATAGCGAAATGTGACCTTCAAATTCCTTTTTTTTTTTTTTTTTTATAACTTTGTTTTTTATAATACTAAAAGATCCGTGTTATTTTATGATTCTACTATAAGCAGAGAATCGTAAAAAGTGAAACGTGAAGCATCAACGGTTAGTCATCAAAATAAAAGTATCTATATATTAATCACAAGGGATGAACGTCAAATGTAAGATAGTATAAAACTACTTGAAATAAATCTTCACTGAATTTCTCAAAATCGTAAATCAAATTACTTATTTGCTAATTTGGATTTAAACATTTTTTTTAGAAAAAAAACAAGATGAAAGAAAATTTTTCAGAAAAATGTACAAAACGAAATTGGAAATATATGTAAAAATATGAAAGAAAATTTTTTTTTGATCGCAACATTGGGAATAGACATTGAAGAACATTTTTTTTTTTTTTACACGATTCACTGAAGATTGTGAAAAGTGCTCTCAAATTTTTTTCGACAACTTGTCTCTTTCAGCAGACATGCAACTAAACCCGTAGCCCATTGTTCGTTATGATTCGTTTTCAAGAGTCGCTTATCGTCGTGTTTCGTCGCATTCGCCGAAAATGCAATTCGTCGCCAAAGGAAAAAATCAATGTTCCTCTATCTCTCACTTTAATATATACGGATGAGAATACAATTTCTTCACTGAGAATATATATCCAACCGTATCAGTTATAGCTTAAAAACTTTTCTCTATTTGACCTAAAAAAAAAATCACGATTTTTTTTTTATATAATAAAATAATACCTCCTCATATGATAAGAATGTAAAAATATATAATATATATATATTTGTGTGAAAAACAAATGTCTACTACTATTAAATATAAAATATATTGTGTGTATGTGCAAGAGAGACTTAATAAAGCTTCCATCAAAGAAATTAAATTATTTCCATTTCAGTTGTTTTCATTCCAAAAGACTTCCAACTGGAAATTAGCCAAATTTTTAATGGCTCCAATGAAAACTATATAACTTTTCTCATAACAAATTTTTTTCAATAATAAAAATTCGAGGCAACAAAAAAAAATAGAAAATCTTGAATATTTTCGAATAGTTTAATAATCTAAAAGAAGAATTAATTACAATAATTATCATAATAAAAAGTGCAACAATCCTTTTTGTCCTAACCTAAAATCAAAATTTTCATCCCTAATTGATTATTTTCTTTTTTTTTTTTTTTTTTTTAATCCGACACAAAAATTGATTTGAGGAAAGGAGAAAATTTTCCAGTATATATGAGAAAGAGGATAAGACAAAAACCGACACTTTATCGAAGGATATACAAAATGGCTTTGGTGTCTTCGGTGAACCGAGCAACCTACTTTGAAATATTTGTATGCATATCTAGAAATTCTGGAGAATGTGAGCGATCTTTTGTATATATATATATATATATATATATATATATATATATATACACAACATAAGTCAGAGAAGTTCTTTCTGAAATTCGAAATTCAAGATTTAAACAGACACTTTGTACACTGCATCCTACGAAAATATATACATCAAAAGAGAATTTTTGTTTTATTATTTATTTATTTTTTTTTTCATTTAACTGACATATACTACTGAACATATTTACAAAATATAAATCAAAAATGAATTTAGAAAACTCTTTATGGTTTTTGTACTTGAAAAATTTTCAAATTTTTTTCAAGTTGGACAACATTTTTTTTAGTCACTCTATAAAAATTGAAATTTTTTCACCACAAGTTTCTATATAAAAATTTAAATTTATGTTTCAAAAATTCTCAAAGAAGCAAATTTCTATAATTTTGCAAAAAAAAAAAAAAATAGAATTTTTTTCTTATTTGAGAATTTGTGAATGTAAAATTTAAAAAAAAGAAAAGAAATTAAAACATTAAAAACTGATTTCCCTCGTGCCCGAAATAAAAATACTTATTAAAAGAACTATTAAACAACAAAAAAAAAAATCAATGTGCATAAATGCGAAAATATATGCCTTGGGACTTGAAAATCATGATATTTCGACAAGATAAACATTACCCCTTTTTCTCGTATTATTTTAATAAAAATCCAATTCTCTCGTGATTTAATTTCACTTATATATTGTATATATTACTTTCCAACAAAATTTTACCTTTCAAGTCGTATTATTTCAGTCCTCTTTTTCCCCTTTCTTTAAACAAAAACTTCATTTTGTAAATTTTTCCCACAAGTCGTTAGTAAAATATTTTTCCATTAAGTGATTAACGATAATTAAAAAAATGTTATTTCAATACAAATATTTTACTATAAAAATCAATATAATTTAAAAGAACACAAATCGTTTTTTTTTTGCATATCTAAAAGAATTATAAATTTTAATAAAAGAATTACTTCTCGATGGTATAAAATAGTGTAGAATTTTTTTTGTTTTTTTCTTTAATCAAGAAAGTAAATTTTTAAGTGGATTTTAAGTGCTTTTTGTATTTAATGGAACGGTTCATAAATTGCACCTGTGTTTTATCCTCAAACATGTGTAAAATCATGTTGCAATTAGATGTGAGAACCGAGAGTAAATCTATTACACAATAGCAAAAGCTTCCGAGGATAATAGTACCTCACACACACACACGTATATAATATATATAAAACAATAGAACATCCCAAGATAGATATTTCTCATTATAAAAATGTATATAATATATCTAAAACCGAAATCAAATATATATGTATTTTTAATACACTGCAAAATTTTTCATTCCAATTTCGTAAATTATTACCATAAATATATATATTATATAATTTCCTTAAAATATGAAATAATTTTTAGACAAATTTACGTTTATCGATAATATTTTTATCCTCGATTTTTTTTTCAAATTAATAAATAATATAAATAGAAAATATAATAACTTTTTCAAAATATTCTGAATATAAATAATATTTTTACGTAATAAAATTATTTATCCCACACAAATTTAAAAGTATCAAATTAATACCAAAAATATCAAATTGATACAAAATTTTTATATCAATTTGATATTTTTGGTATCAATTTGATAATTTTAAATTAGTGTGCCAGAATGGCAAAAAAGTTTCTTTTCAATAATGATAATAATAAAAGAAAAAAAAACACTCTTAATATAATTGGGCATTAAATTTTTAAATCAAAAGCTCAACTTTAACGCAGTTTTCAAACCACGAGAAGAAAAAAACTTGTAATCCTTAGATTCTTTTTTTTTATATTTTCTTAACTTAAGTGATCATAAAAATAGACGACCTGGAAATTTAAGTTGAAGTGTAATATAACACATTATATAATAATTATTGCTTAAAATGATAAATTATTGTTCGATATATATTTCTTTCGATTTATTGAGATATATAAATGGGGAAAAATTATTTTTATGAATAAAAGTCAATGATAGAGAGAGAGAGTCTGTTTTTCCAAACTTATCCCGTACTCTTGGCGGCGCGCACTTTACGAGCTTTTTTCATTAATATCAGATATCGGTGTATCAGTATCACTACCGGCTTTCAAACCTTGGGAAAATCGTTAACTTGCCTCATTTTTTTTTATAGCCTCCTTACTCTTTTTCCAATATTGATGATTTGAGTTTTCTTTCTTTCTTTCTTTTTTTTCTGCATTGAAGACTTCATTTATTTATTTTTTCATTTCCGTCCTTTTTATATATATATATATATATATATATACTTTTTTCCCCCAACAAATTTTTTGAGATTTTTCAAATTTTAATTTGTAATACAAATTGCTTTTATGTTATTTTTTTTTCACCATCCAAAAAATAATTAACTACAAATTTGTTTGAAAAACAAAAAAAAAAAAAAATTAAATTTTTTTTTTTAAAAGAAAATATTACCCGCAGTTTCTTATAAGACAAAGAGAATTGTGGAATAGGTTATATATATATGAGTGAAATCTTCAACATATATAACAGAGGGAATTCCCGTATAAGTAGACAGTATAAAGAAAGGTGAAACGTGAATAGCATAATTCAGTTTTCAACACACGGGATTCTCTTTGCACTTTGCAAGATGTATTAAATATTAAGCATGAGCTTTTAAAAGAAGTATATATTTCTCTTTTAAGAAAAATTAAAAATTTCTTACGTTATAAAATATATTCTTTATATATATATATATATATATATATATAGCCCCTTACGTAATGCAAGCTTCCTATCATTCGTTTAATAATAAATATGACTCGATAAAATTCTACGATAATCTTTATAATTTTACAGCGAGTTACGCGTTTATTTTACAGTCTTGTATATAATAATATAAAGTATCCGATATAAATTCATTGGAAAATTTATACTCCTAGCCATCTGGTTTTTTTTTTTTTTCTCAATTCGAATTGTATTTCTTTTTTCCTTATTACAATTTTTCTTTGTTTTAAATTAAAAACTTTTTCTCTCTCTCTATATATATATAACAAAATACCAAGATAAATATAAAACTATCTTTACAATTATGAGATAATTACACAGTAGAAAAAAATCTCGTCTTTAAAAAAAAGAAAAAAAAAAAAAAAAAACTTTAAAAAAGTTCTTTACCTGTTTTTTTAAATTTATTAGTATCAGAAATGTACATAGTTTGAAATTTCGACTTTGATAATAAATTTAATTAATATTTTTTATAAAATATTTATTATTAACTATTATTATTATTATTATTATTATTATTATTATTATTATTATTATTATTATTATTATTATAAATATATTTATACTATATTATAAAATATAACAAAACTGTAAAATAAAGTAAATGTTAAAAATATTCTGAATAAAAAAAATATATATATATAGATGCGTAAAACATTTCCTACAATTTTGTACAGTTCGCGTGACAAGAGTGCATTCAAATAAAACTTCCGGATTTTTTTGCTTTATTTTTTAAAGCAATGCCTCCAGGAAAATCTACGAAATACTAGAAGCCTTGAGTTACGACCGTAGAGATACGAGTCTCGTGTTACGGTTACAGGGTTGTTTCAAAGTGTTAGACAATCCCGTCGACACTATTCCCCGCATCTCTCATGCTTCTCGTAAAAGCACATGTAGTAAGCTATTTTCCGACACTGTGTTAGAAAAAAGAAAAAAAAAAAAATTAGATTTTCACATTTTGTTTCGTTCTCTACAATATATTTTTTCTCCCCCTACAATTTTCAATTATAATTGCACTGGAAACAAAACATTTTTTTTTACTTGAGAAATTTTTTTCTATTTAAAGTAAAATAATTAATAATTATTTGTATTTAAAATATTTTTTTTAGAAAAAAAAAATGTTCATTTAATTATATATTAGAAAAATAAATTTTTTTTTAAAAAAAAGGGAATATTTTATTTTTCAGTCATGGTACGATTACAAATTAAAATGGGATCCCAAGGAATACGGTGGAGTGGAAATGTTACATGTGCCCTCTGACCATATTTGGAGACCTGATATAGTTTTATATAACAAGTAAGTGATAATGAAAAAATAAGAAAAATTTGTTTTCAATTAATTACCCTCTATTTTTTTTTCTTTCTTTCTATTTTAGTGCCGATGGTAATTTCGAAGTGACACTAGCGACAAAGGCAACTTTAAATTACACGGGTAGAGTCGAGTGGAAGCCACCGGCGATTTACAAGTCTTCCTGTGAAATTGACGTCGAATACTTTCCATTTGACGAACAAACATGCGTCATGAAATTCGGTTCATGGACGTATGATGGCTTTCAGGTATGTAAAAAAAAAAAAAAAACATAATTTCAATTATTTTCGTTCAACTCAAAATTTGAGAGTGAAAAAAAATTGAAAATTGCTATTCGAAAACAATAATAAATAAGATATTTAGCGTATCCAATATATTAGAGAAAAGAATTCGATTAAAGTAAATATAAATTTCAATCCAAGGACTTTCGTAAAGTGCCATTTGGATATATATATATATATATATATATATATATATTAATTCTTTGAGAGAAAATTTTATAATGGAAAATCGAAGCGTAAATTCCTGAACATGGTAGTGGACTCGTCACGTGCGAAGGTTCCTTCCCTAATAAGGGAGATATTCCAATTCTGCATTCCACTCATCTTCAAGGTTGGACAGGCATTTCCAGTAAACGCGATTACGTGCCTAGCCTTTAACCCAGATCGCATTAACGTCTTTTGTTTTTTGGTTTTTTCCCCCCCACCCCTATATTGTATAGTTTATTTAACAATATATATTTTTTTTTAATGCTATTATTTTGATACGAAAGTAAAAAAGAATTCCCCTATGGGGTTATTTAGGTCCTTAAGTGAGTCACTTGAGACTTTTCTTTCTTTCTTTTTTATTTAAGTCGAAAAGAACGCTTCAAATGTCAATCATTCTCCCTGCCTTGTTTTCATAAGATAAAGTATTTTGTAAAAGAAATGTAGTTTTTTTTCTCCATCTTAAGACAAATTCACAGAAAATTAAAATGCATTAAAATAAAGCTGCAACGCTTATTATTTTAATCAAATTTTGCTTATTTTAATCTATTTTGGTATTAAAATAAGCTCTCTAAATCTGAATCAGTAGAAATTTTACTAATTTTCATTTTAACTAAAGTTTCAGTTATTTTTTGAAATTTACTAATATAATTAGTTAATATGCAAGCAATATAGAAAATAACTTAAGTAAATCAGTAATTTGTATATAACATAACCTTTAAAATTAACTGTTAAATCAGTCCCTCATAACAAAAGGATATCCATATCAATGGTCGATATCCTAGAATGGTCCCCAGGATATCTTGGGATATCCCTAGGATATCCAAACCGCCGGTCTGTGGGACATCAACAGGACATCCCTAATACATCCACAAAATATCTATTGGATATTATATCGCAGGATATCCCTGGGTTATCATCAGGATTTCCGTGGGATATTCTTATGATATTCCAGGGGATATTTAATATCTCAACATATATTTTTAAAGGTTAAAATTTTTAAGCTAATATAATGAATAATAATTTATAATAAAAACAAAAATCTTATGAGCTTCTAATTTATTTTAAATGAAGATTTGAAACGCATTTTTCAATGTTTTTAAATAAACTCATGCACTTAATGTTTAATTAATATTAATAGTTATTCGTTATTTGTGGGGAAGAATTTATATTGTTTAAAGACAATTTATTTTCTGACAATATTAAGCATATGAATGAAAAAATGAATCACGAATGAGAAAAAAATTAGTTAATAATTTTTCAAATTAAACAACTTTCTTGAAAAACAAGTTGCATTTTATTTTTTTATTTATATAAAATTTAATTCACAGAATATTCTCACTCGTAGTCTCATAATGACTTTAAAAACAGTATCCTGAGAATATCTTCTTGACATCCAGAAGATATACTGAGAATATCCTGAAAATATCTGTGGGATATCCTGACGATATCTATGGGATATCTGGAGGACATTTATGAAAGTCTATAGAGATATCCAGAAGATATCCTGTGGATATCCTCAGATATCCATGGAATATCCAAAGGATATACAAAATTCCGATTTTTTGGATATCCTTAAGAGATCCTTTTGATATCCATAGGACATCCCTAGGATATCTGCGGAATATTATCAATATATCCCAAGATATCTTGTGTTATTAGGGGTAGATTTTGCGGTTGTTGCCATTACTGATTTAATCAGTAATTTATATTTTACTAATTGAATCAGTAAATTTCTACTAATTATCAGTTGCTCAATTCTCACTAATGGCAATTAGTATAGATTTCTACTGCTAATCAGTGAAATATGACTGCTTCAGATTTAGAGAGTAGAAAAATTGGATTAAAATAATATAAGCGTTGCAGCTTATTTTAATGCCTTTTAATTTTCTGTGTTTGCCACATCAAGAAATTGGAAAAATACTCTTAGTTTCTTCATTTTGAAAAGTCAAAATAATAATTGCGTTTCCATCGGAATGCCATTTCAATTTTTCAATTAAAAAAAGAGAATTTCATTGAGCGAAATAAATTGAATTAGTTGATTCAAATTTTTTTCTGAGATTCTATCTTTTCTTTGGATGTAATAAGACATAAATCTTATTATATGATTTAAAATGGTTTTCTTAATTGTAAGATCAAAATTTAAAAAAATTTAATTTTGTCCATTTTTTGAAAAAATTTTGAATTTACTAAAATACAGCTCCACTTTTGGCATTGATAAACTCGTATTACAAAATCCAGTGTAAAAGTGCTTCGTTTAGCTCTTGGCAGCAGAAAAGCCGGCGTATCGAGAAAACATAAGTGGCTTCGTTTTGTCCCGTTATTCAACGATTGAATTTACGGTATAAAAACCCGGGAATATTTTTAAAATAAAACGACGAGGACTATTCAATCAATTCATATATAAATCGTGAATAAAAACTTCATCCAAATCTAATAGTATAGTCTTCTTTTTTTCCTTTCAATATTATATATATATATATATAGTACCGGATACACGATTTATCAAATTACTTAAGTTCCAGTATATTTTTCTTCTTTTCCTCTCGTTATATTTTTTCAACAGAAAAATATATTTTCCATCTTCATAATTATATTCAAATATAATTGCACAATTATCAATTTTTTTAAATTGTGGAAAAAAATATCATATTAAATATTGAAATCTTTTAACTGTTATTTTTTTTCTCCTTTTTTTTTTTTTTTTTTGTTTATTCCAACTTGAAATGGAGAATTGGAATCTCTTTGGGTTTTAAAAGCAAAGAGTTGTCAGAATATTCTGTCGATAATGCTTTGAAACAGGACATTTTACATTCCAGGTCGACCTGAGGCACAACGATGAAATTCGAGGCAGTAATGTTGTGGATATTGGTGTTGACTTATCTGAATTTTATCCTTCGGTCGAATGGGATATTTTAGAAGTTCCAGCCGTTAGGTAATTATCTGTTTAATTTATTAATTAATGTTTCCCATATACGAACAATAGTTTATCATTTTAAAAATTTTTATTATTATTATTATTATTATTTTATTTATTTTTTTTTTTTTACTAAATTATAAGAATTTAAAAATTTTATTTTATATATAATAGAAAAGTTAATTATTTTAATGTCTGTATTCTTTATCATACAAATCAGTGGTATAAGTCAATATTTAGTCAGACTTTTTAAAATGATTGTAATTTCGTCAGTAGTACAAGTCAATATTCAATCATATTTTCTGTTTTCAGTAGTATAAATCGATTTTAGTCAGATATATTATAAGTAAATTAGAAAATCAGTAGTAAAAGTAAATATAAAGTCAGACATTCTTTTTGCAAAAAAAATGATTGTAATTTCGTCAGTAGTACAAGTCAATATTCAATCATATTTTCTGTTTTCAGTAGTATAAATCGATTTTAGTCAGATATATTATAAGTAAATTAGAAAATCAGTAGTAAAAGTAAATATAAAGTCAGACATTCTTTTTGCAAAAAAAAATGATTGTAATTTCGTCAGTAGTACAAGTCAATATTCAATCATATTTTCTGTTTTCAGTAGTATAAATCGATTTTAGTCAGATATATTATAAGTAAATTAGAAAATCAGTAGTAAAAGTAAATATAAAGTCAGACATTCTTTTTGCAAAAAAATGATTGTAATTTCGTCAGTAGTACAAGTCAATATTCATTCATATTTTCTGTTTTCAGTAGTATAAATCGATTTTAGTCAGATATATTATAATTATAAGTAAATTAGAAAATCAGTAGTAAAAGTAAATATAAAGTCAGACATTCTTTTTGCAAAAAAAAAATGATTGTAATTTCGTCAGTAGTACAAGTCAATATTCAATCATATTTTCTGTTTTCAGTAGTATAAATCGATTTTAGTCACATATATTATAAGTTAATTAGAAAATCAGTAGTAAAAGTAAATATGAAGTCAGACATTCTTTTTGCAAAAAAAAATCATTGTAATTTCGTCAGTAGTACAAGTCAATATTCAATCATATTTTCTGTTTTCAGTAGTATAAATCGATTTTAGTCAGATATATTATAAGTAAATTAGAAAATCAGTAATTATAAAGTCAGACATTCTTTTTGCAAAAAAAAGGATTGTAATTTCGTCAGTAGTACAACTCAATATTCATTCATATTTTCTGTTTTCAGTAATATAAATCGATTTTAGTCAGATATATTATAATTATAAGTAAATTAGAAAATCAGTAGTAAAAGTAAATATAATGTCAGACATTCTTTTTGCAAAAAAAAATGATTGTAATTTCGTCAGTAGTACAAGTCAATATTCAATCATATTTTCTGTTTTCAGTAGTATAAATCGATTTTAGTCAGATATATTATAAGTAAATTAGAAAATCAGTAGTAAAAGTAAATATAAAGTCAGACATTCTTTTTGCAAAAAAAAATAATTGTAATTTCCTCAGTAGTACAAGTCAATATTCATTCATATTTTCTGTTTTCAGTAGTGTAAATTGATTTTAGTCAGATATATTATAAGTAAATTAGAAAATCAGTATCAAAAGTAAATATAAAGTCAGACATTCTTTTTGCAAAAAAAAATGAATGTAATTTCGTCAGTAGAACAAGTCAATATTCAATCATATTTTCTGTTTTCAGTAGTATAAATCGATTTTAGTCAGATATATTATAAGTAAATTAGAAAATCAGTAGTAAAAGTAAATATAAAGTCAGACATTCTTTTTGCAAAAAAAAAAAAAAAAAACATTTCTATCATTTTTTATTTTTAGGAATGAAAAATTTTATACGTGTTGCGATGAACCCTATCTCGACATCACGTTCAACATTACCATGAGGCGAAAAACACTTTTCTATACTGTCAATCTCATTATTCCTTGTATGGGAATATCTTTTCTCACAGTGTTGGTCTTTTACCTTCCCAGTGATAGTGGCGAAAAGGTAAGTGTAATTTATCACTCTCAAAGTTTACAAAAATAATTATTTCTAATTTTCATTGTAAATATTTTTCTTTTTCATTCTAAAATCAGGTTATTATAAATTCAAAAAGAAATTATTACAGAAATCATTCTTTTTTTAAAAAAAACAAAAACCTATTTTACTATTGAAAGCAAAAAAAAAAAAAAAAATTCGCGTATATAAAAGGCTACATGAAAAATCCATTCAATATGTCAATTTTCTTTTTTCAATAGCTCCTCTGAGTATTCAGAATAGAGCAAATCAATGTACAATAACAAAATATCAAGAACCACGTTAAAAGACATAAAAAAATATATTCTTATTTATGTATATAGTATTAGAAAAATAAAACTCACCGTTGATCGTAGATTCTCTTTGAAGATGCCAAAGATTATTTTCATCTGAAAACAAAAAATAAATCATATTTAAAATATTATAAAATATAACATTAAATTTATTTCAATAAAATTAAAATTAAATATTTATTTTGTGAAAAAATCGATTTATTGTTTTTAAAAAAAAGCAATATAAATAAAAGTATCTCTAACTACAAAAAAGAAAAAAGTGAAACAAGAAATTTGCAATTTTAAAGAGATTATATAAAGTTTATATTAATATCAAAAGAAGACGAAAGTATATAAGAATGAGAAAAGGTAGATTTTAAGACAAGAATATGACAGTTAGAGCAGAAAGGTCAGGACAAAGAGCAAACCGTGCTTTTTCCTCAGCTGCATGCACTTTTAGAGCACAATAACTTTTGCATCCCTCGACCTCCATTCAACGATCTCTTGACCTCGAACTGATAACCAAAGTGTTCGTAGGTCGCTTTATAATTCAGTTATTATATATTATATATAGTCTCCAAGCTTCCATATATATATATATTTCAGAAGGTCATAAAAATCGTAAGCTTGACAAGTACCTTCTGTCACCCTTAATTTTCAATCTTTTTGTTCTTTAGTTGCAGCTGCTTGGATCCATTAATTTTATTAGACAATATCAGCTTTTGAAAAATGATTCCCTCATTTTTAAGCATTGAATCTGACGAAAATTATATAACAAAAATATTTGATTTTTTTTTTATAAAAAAAAAAGACAAACAAAATAAACCAATTTTGTTTCAAAAAATTATTATTTTCAGGTGAGTCTCTCCATTTCGATTCTCCTATCACTGACTGTGTTCTTCCTTCTGCTCGCCGAAATCATTCCACCTACTTCACTAGTGGTACCTCTTCTTGGAAAATTTGTCCTCTTCACAATGATCCTCGATACATTCAGGTAAAAATTTTTTTCTTATTTTTATTAAATTTCTAAGTAAGAAAAATAAAATATTCCTTTTTTTCCAGCATCTGTGTGACTGTGGTGGTTCTCAATGTGCATTTCCGATCGCCTCAAACACATGTAATGGCACCGTGGGTCCGACGCGTTTTTATTCATATTCTACCCCGACTACTGGTAATGCGCAGGTAATATAGAAAAAAATCGAAAAAAAAAAAAAAAAAAAAATGAAAACAGAATTCAAAGAAAACGCGTTGCCTAAGGGGAATTGCCTTTTAAGTCTTTTTTTTAACTTTCTGGACTTGAAGTCAGCGAAAAATCGTCTATTATTACACTTATATATATATAGCTCTTTGAATGCCTTCGTCTACAAAGCGTTCTTCATCCACAACGCAAAATGCTCTTACACTTAACGATAAGATTAAAGAGAAAAAAAAAATTCCTTATTCCAAGTAAAAGGGTTTATCAATTACTTTTTTTTTTAATTCATATTCTTTTTCATATTTCTTTATTTCCTTTTTTTTCAACTCTCATTTTTTTTTATCTAGGCCGCAATATCAAATAGATAAACGAAGCTACACTGGTCATCGTAATCATAGACTCATGATCAGGACGTGTAATGGTCTCGAACTTCGAGATCCAGCAATTTTTGTCGATCCTTCAGCACCAGAACTTGTAGAGTCATCGGTTCTTTTTCCAAGCCTCGATTCACGAGACGAACTGAATCCTAGGTTTGTTTTTCATCCCCCCCCCCCAAAAAAAATAAATAAAAATTACATTCTTTTTACAATTGCAGGGAAATGGAAGGAGTTAATTTGGGAAGTTCGTGTCGAATTCACGGTACACCAACAAATACTCCGGCTCCACCCCAACAACTGCCTACCGAGGAGAGTGTAGACGCTCTTTGTAAATCTCTTCATCATTGGCATCACTGCCCAGAACTTTATAAAGCCATCGAAGGCATTCGTTTCATTGCTGATCATACAAAAAGAGAAGAAGATTCAACTAGAGTATGTTTTATTTTTTAAAAAAAAATTTAATTTTTCAACAAAAAAAATTCTTTTTTTCAATGTGATGGAAATTTTTTTTTTCCAAATTTCAGGCCTCGGATCGACTTAAAGGCACAAAAAAGTCGTTTTAGTCGATTTATATTAAAAAAAAATCGAAAAAGTCGATTTTTTCTATTTTAACAAAAATAACTTATAGATTTTTAAATAAAATTTTTTTTTTAAATAATAATACTTTTTGGAAGGGTTGAAGTTGAATTTTTTTTAGAAATAATTGAATTTCAAAAGATTTTTTTAATTTTCAGGCAATAATTAAATTTTACAGAATTAAAAATAATTTATCAAATAATTTGAGATAACATTTTTTAAAGGTAATTGAATTTTCAAAGATTTACAATTGAGATTTTTAAAATTAATTGAACTTTAAGTGATTTTTAATTAAAAATTTTGATGATTTCACTAAAAATTTATTAGAAAATGCGGACAAAATAAAATAATTTGAAAATCATTTTTAATTGAAAAATGCTTTGAGATAGTTGAAATTTCAAAGAATATTATAAAAATAGTTAAAAATAATTTAGTTGCCTTAGAGTTATAATATTGAAATTGTTAAATTTCAAAAAATTTTCGATGAAAAATTTTAGAAATAATTAAATTTTAGAAGCTTTTAAATTCAAATTTTTGAAAATAATTGAATTATAATTGAAATTTTGGATAATAATTCAATTATAGTTGATTTTTGATTGAAAATTTTGAAAATAATTGAATTTTCTTTGATTTTGAATTGAAATTTTGGGTAATAATTTAATTTTAATTGAATTTGAATTGAAAATTTTGAAAATAATTGAATTTTAAGATTTTGAATTGAAAATTTTGAAAAAAATTGAATTTTCTTTGATTTTGAATTGAAATTTTGGGTAATAATTTAATTTTAGTTGATTTTTAATTCAAATTTTTGAAAATAATTGAATTATAATTAAAATTTTGGATAACAATTCAATTTTAGTTGATGTTTATTGAAAACTTTGATAATAATTAATTTTGAATTGAAATTTTGGATAATTATTGAATTTTAAAAGATTTTGAATTGAAAATTTTGAAAATAATTAAATTTTCTTTGATTTTGAATTGAAATTTTGGGTAATAATTTAATTTTCTTTGATTTTGAATTGAAATTTTGGGTAATAATTTAATTTTAATTGAATTTAAATTGAAAATTTTGAAAATAATTGAATTTTAAAAGATTTTGAATTGAAAATTTTGAAAACAATTGAATTTTATTTGATTTTGAATTGAAATTTTAGTTAATAATTTAATTTTAGTTGATTTTGAATTGAAATTTTTGAAAATAATTAAATTTTCTTTGATTTTGAATTGATTTATGAATTTTAATTAAAAATTTCTGGTAATTTTATTTGATATTTTTTTAAAATTATAAACAATTGTTAAATTTCATAAAAATTTTAATTGAAAAATAATTTGAAATAATTGAATTTGTGATAAATTTCATTTAAAATTATTAAAAATAATTAATTTAGTGAAGAATTTTAGTTAAAATTTTTTTTAAATAATTGAAATAATAAAGATATGAAGATTTGCATTTTATACTAAAAAAAAATATTTTATTTAAAAATTTTTTTTTTAAATGTAGAAAAAAGTCGAAATAGTCACATTTTATTAAAGTAAGTCGAAAAAAGTCGTATTTTTGAAAAAAAAAAAGTCGGAAATAGTCAAAAAAGTCGTATAATCCGAGGCCTGAAATTGGAAACAAAATCATTAAATTAAAATTCAAATCTATTTTTTAAAAAAAATCATTTAATTTCAATATTCTAATCTAAATATAGGTCAAGGAGGATTGGAAATACGTGGCAATGGTGCTAGACAGATTATTCTTATGGATCTTCACTTTGGCCGTAATTGTTGGTACAGCAGGAATTATTTTGCAAGCCCCTACATTATACGATGATCGCATTCCCATTGACGTAAAACTTTCCGAAATAGCCTCAACCACTGCCAAACCACACATTGTTCCAACTCTCTGAGAGGCACTCAGTGCTTTATAGTCTCCTCAAAAACACAACTATTATTACATATATTATAATAATATATAGAAAATATTATTATAATATAACATTGATTAAAAAGAAAACACACGATTCAATCTAATTGCTTATCTTGTTTCACGCGTCACAGAAATTTTCTGAACTGAAGAAAAAAAAATGACAATTATATTGGCCTAAGGAATCTCTCCTTTCTGAAACAGGATAAGCAATTGGAAAAAAAACACACACACGGGGAAACTCTAGGAAATAAGAAACTATTTTGTAGCAATTGGCAAATTTTTAGCAATTAGTTAAAAAAAAATTGTTAACTTTTTCGATTGCTACAAAAAAAAAAAAAAAGAACTTTGTCCCACAGTATCATACTAAGAAAAAATATTTAATGCTATTAAAGCTGTTACGTACCATAATTTTATTAAGAGAGCTCATTATAATTCGTGTTTCTAAATCTGCAAACTGCAATTTTTCCAAAAAAAAAAAAAAAAAAAACATTTTCAATCCCAATTTATTTTTTATTCATTTAGATAACGATTTTTATAAAAAAAAATATTTCTGATAATTTTTTAAAATAATCTATTTGTACATTTTTTAATTAGAGAAAATTTTACTACTTTTTCAATGTCACTTTCTTAATTAGGAGAAATATTAATAAACTTTTTTTTAATTAATAATAAAACTTTTTAAATTGGAAAATTTTCTTTTTTTTTCAATTAGGCAATGAACTTTTCACGATTTTTAATACATTTTTAATTATACACCATTTTGTTACCCCTCATAAAATTTTTTTTTGTAAAATCTAAACTTTTCTCTCATTAGCAAATTTTAATAACCTTTCAATTTGATAACTTTACAATATTTATATTCTAATTAAAAATTTTTTAAATAATTATTTCTTTTAACAATTAAAAATGAATTTTACATTGAAATGAATTTATATAATTTTTTTTTTTTTTTTTTAACATTAATATTGCATGGAAAAAAAATTCATCTGCAACAGAAAAATGTTTCATTATAGAATAGTGAAATTTAAAAGAAACAATTTCGCTTTTACAGTGAAATCTTTTACTGTTTTAGATAAATCTCTTTTTCTCGTGTATGATATTGAGAAAAAGTAAATAGTAAAAAAAAAGAAAGAATTGAGGTGTGTAGATTTGGAAAAGAAGAATAAAAAAAAAAAACGCCTGTTGCAGACTCAGGAAGAAACACTGAATTTGTTTTTGAAGCAACATCGAGCCTGTAACAATGGGGCCATATTTTCACTATATAAAAAAAAAAAGAACAAAGTCTCTCATACAATGAAAATTCTAAATATCTGCATCGACTCGAGGCAGAGTGAGCCCAAGTTAAAATAAATCTGGGCTCCACTTTTATTGCTCATATATGTTTGTATAAGACATTATTCATAATAATAAAAAAAAAAAATTTGTTCCATTATATACCACTAACGACTAACGTGGATATTTATTAAAAAATAAAAAGAAGAAAAAAAGAGAAGAATTTTAATGAGAGAGTATGTATGCAAAAAAAAAACAAATTGTTATGGCGTATTAAATTTTGGTATTTTGCAGGTCTTCCTCACCCATCCAATCCTTATTTTTTTTTATCCCCGAAAAAAATTTTTTGCCTTCCATTATATTTTATATATAGGTATATATATATATCAATTTTTTTCTTTTCTCCTTAATTCCGCTTCACTTTGAAAATTTTTATTTTTTGAACAAGCTTTTACAAGTCCATAATTATACAATTTTTAAATTCCTAGTTTACCATTTTGTAAATCTCTAATATAAACTATTTGTTATAAATTTTATAAGTCAATTCTTGAGTTTCAAGAAATTGAAAAAAAAAAAAAAAATTAACGACTGTATCATCAGTATTATATATTTCATTTAGAATATTTTCGAACAAACAATATTGTTCACATTTTTAGATCCGCTGCAAAAAAAAATAAATAATTTTATATTATGTAAATGCAGAGTGATTCTGAATGAACTATGTATTTTTTATTCAAGTTGCTACTCTACTCCTTTTTTCGTCTCTTCAATAAAAAATTACAAAATTTAATGACAAAAAAAAAGAGAGATGAAAAACAAAATTAATATTTAATCAATTAAAATTTTTTTCTTATTGGCGAAAAAGGGAGATGATGCAATTTTAGAAAAATAAAATTTCATCAGATCAGAAACTGATTTGAAAGAAAAGCATATATATAAATATATATATATATAATATTGTTTTGTAATTTTAATATTGTAAAACGAAGGGTGCGTACGTACGAGATTATAATAATTAAGAAAAAAAAACAATTATTACGTGTTACAGAAATAAGCACAGTGATAGTTACCTAATATAAAATAATATATAATGATATTATTATATTAAAATTATATTATACATAAGAAAATCGATACCCCACACGATATTATAAGAAAATATCATGGCAAAAAATATTTTGTGAGTGTATCTACGACTCGACATTGAATTTTTGTGTATTGAAAATTGAATCGACCTCGATTTATGTACTAAACTGACGTAAAAAAAAAAAAATGAAACATTTTTTCGTGTATTTAAAAAACCGAGAAAGGAATTTTATAAAGGTGTTGAAATAAATGTTAGGGCGCAGTTTTATAAGGGCCTTACTCGTTTGCAAATCTCCATTTCAGAGAAGACCGTCGCTATAAATACATTTTTCATATACGAGAGCTTAAAAAAGCACGCTGCCATATTTTCAATTTGTCAATTTCACTTTTTAAAATCTTCGCCTCCCCCCACCCCACCATCATTGTGATTCAATTTTTTTTAAAAATTATTTTTTCATATTTAGATACAAATTTTATTTGTTCAAAAAAAGAAAATTTCTAAATTTTTTTTTTTTTAATAAAAAATTTGAAACTTTTCTCTTGCAATAGAAATTAGTTGAAAAAAAAAATGTCAACGAAGAATTTTTTTTGTTTTATAAAAATACGAAAAGAGCTTTGATGGCGACATATTTTAAGAAAAACAGAAAGAAAAAAAAGAATCATCTCGCAAGTGAGGAAATTTTGAAAAATGGCACGATATTTTTTATAATTACTATCTAAGACGTATAAGGAAACAAGTATACATGTATACAAAGCAATTTATGAGAAGAATTTATGTACAAGAAAAATAGCAACACCTCGATTAGCGTTTTAAAGAAAAATTTAAAAAAAAAAATTCTTTCAAATAATTTAAATTTAAAAACATGCCATTAAAGACAATTAATAAAAATTTATTTTAAAAATTTAATTTAAATTATTAAAAAAAATTCTTTCAACACTTATATGGTAATTATGGAACAAGTTGCAAATATCTTAGACATGGCCTTAAAAGACATTGTCGTCATTGAAGAGAAATATGATACAAGTGCTACCGAATAATATTGAACGCTAATAATTATAAAAATTGTATGTGAAAAAATAGGATAACTAATTTAAGCGCAGGATGTGTTATCATGTCACTACCACACACACACACACACACGCATGTCCTAACATATCTGAGTCAACGTCTGTGTTAAAAGTCCCTTAATTCTACTGTATTCTATTAATTTTTTTTTCTTCTATAATTTTTCGCAAAACTAGTAACATGAGTAGAAAATTTACTTGACAAGTGCTTACAAAAAGAAAAATAAGTCGACCAATACAGTCATCGCAGGTCTCATTCGCCTTTCATACTTAGAAAATATAATAAAAAAATTGTATAGAAATTATTTTCAATTCTATAATCGTGCATTGTCATTAGAATTAGGGTGGTACAAATAATTGTTTATGTAAATAGAAAAATTTTACGTTTAGTTAAACATTTTAATTTGTTAATATTATTAGAATATATTATTATAATAATAATTATTAATATTATTGTTTCATTTTGAATTATATTTATTAAAAAAATTATTTCTATATTTTAATTTTCGTGTAATTTGAAACTTCTCTGAAATTGAGAGAACATTTCAAAAGGAAATTTTTTTTTTTCAAAGTCAAAAACAAAAAATTGAATCTAAAGAAGAAAATATTTTTGAACCACCTTAATATAAGTATCACGCTTAAGGATAGAATATAATTTTACCTTAAAGATAAAAAAATAAAATAATAATTAATGTCTCATAGAGAAAATCCATTTGCTCGTATAGAAAAGTATCTAAACATCGAGCGAAAAAAAAAGAAAAAGAAAAAAAAAAAAAAAAAAAAAAAAAAAAAAAAAAACGAACACAACACTTTTATTATTTTGTTTTGAAAATTTTTCTCATTTTTCACGAAGTACAAATAATGGAAAAAAACGGCCCAAGAAAAATTGTATATTCAATGAAATAACATTTTACCATACATTTCTTTAAAAAAAAAAAGGTGAAAAATTCTTTTTTTATTTTTTCAACTTTTAAAAATTATTCTTAACACTTGAAAAATTAAAGAAGGTATTGGAGGTATTCAAAGAAAGTATTTAAATATGAAAAAAAATTAATCCAATTGAAATTTTTTTTCTAGACTCTCTAAATTTGAATCAGTGAAAAAGTCACTGGTCTCAAATCAGTCGCTAAATTATAGCTATTTGAATCAGTAACATTTCACTGATTTTCAGTCAAAGTAATTGATTCTCCAGTGAAATATCACTAACTGTCAGTGAAAACCACTGATTCAAATAGCTAGAATTTAGCGACTGATTTGAGACCAGTGACTTTTTCACTGATTCATATTTAGAGAGGAGATATAATTTTTTTGAATCATTTAATTTTTTTGTAAACAAAATAAATGTTATTGATTGTTATTAAAAAAAAATTTAATTTTCCATAATTGCAATTTTTGGAAATATTTTAAACTCTGACATTTTTTTTTTTCACCAAAATGTTACTTTTTTTGAGATAAGAAAAAAAGGGAAATTGGATCAATTCTTCTTTAATCTCACACGAAGGAAAATTAGCTTCTAACTGCTAACTTGAACGTCACATTTTTTTCTCCATACAAACTTAATTTAAAAAATATAATATTAAAACAATATTTTTATCTTCGTTATAGACATTAAATTAACAAAAAAAAAAAAACAAAAAAAAATAGGGCACAAATGGTCCAGATGAAATAAAATTTATTGGCCCAAAATGCTTGAATATTACCTAAATATATATATAAATATACATATATATAAAATATATTATATTGATATTAAATATATTTATTGAAATATTGAAAAGTAAAAAGATTCTAAACAATTTTGTTAATTTTTAAAATGAAAAAGGTCTAAATTGTAACTTTCTTCTTAAATAATCATCGTGTAAACTATAGCACTGACATTGTCATATTGCTATTATTAATAATCATCGAATACAAAAGGGAAAAAAGAAAAAAAAAAACATCATTTTTTTTGCTCAAATTTCCATAGTTAAAATATTTCTCTCATTCAAATCAGACTCTCAGCTTTGTTTTTCCAATGATGAAGAAAAGACAAAGAAAGAAAAAGAAAAGAAAGACTTAAAATGTCCAATTTAATCGAAAGTCGAATCTAAGGGTCTGGCATTTCGTTAACTGCCATATATATATATATATATATATATATATATATATATATAAATAACAATTTATTTTGAAAGTGTAAAAACAGCTCGTTGCAAGTTCATTGCACAATAATCTACAATGTAGAAAAATTTATTTAGAATAAATTATAGAGTCAAAAATTATTATTTTTTGTCTGATAAGAGGGCAACGGTAAATGGATCCTCGAAGAGGGGACAAAAAAATAATTTAACTTTCTCTTATGAATACAAAAACATTCACAAAAAGAAAAAAAAACAATTTTTTAAAAATTAAATTAGTAAATTTTCAGAAGATTCATTTTATATTAATCATAATTATTATTATACATATATAATAATAATAATAATAATAATAATAATAATAATAATAATTATAATAATTATAAGCAATTGCAACGAGCTAAAATTGTGCCCAAACGAGGCATTCAACGAACAGATTCCCATATTATTGCCGTAATTAAATCTTTAAAGTTAAAATGGTAATTAACAGAAATAATGTTATAAACTAGTTTCTAAATAACCGCCCTGATAAAAATATGCCTCACGATTAATAAAAAAAAAAAAACGTTATTGGGGCATCAAGCCAATTGTCGTGTCTTTTGAATGAGTCTTATAGATTGTAGAGAAACAATCGGCGAGATGTCCCATTAAATTATAATACTGTAAAACAATGATGAAACTTTCTACATAACAGGTGTATATCTATAAAAATGATGAATAAACTTGATTTTTGTAAAAAAAAAAAAAAAAGAACTAAATTAAAATTTTTATTAATATTTATTAAAAGGTAAAATTACAATAACAATAAACCAAAATATTTTGTTTTAAGTTTACAAAAAAAAATAGTAAAACAAAATATTATTTTGATTTTAATGATCATCGAAAATATAATTTCTCAAAGAATTAAAAATTTATTTCGATGAAGAGGAACACAACTTTAGGCACAATATTATAATTAACTATTGTTATTTTAAACACTTGTTTCATGCGATTTATTAATCGCCTCTTCATCATCAAAAATATCTTCATCTGTTTTTTTATCTATTTTATTATTTTCCGAATCACTTTCTTTCGAATCCAAATTGTTTTGTTTTACTCTTCTTATTTTTTGAATTTCTTTCCTAACTGCCATTGCACCTGAAAAATTCAAAAGTCATTGATAAAAAAAAAAAAAAATAAAAAAAAAAAAATAAAGAAACAAATAAAAAATTTTTTTAAATCATACATAACAATGATTGCATAATTTCATCTTTCTTAGTTGTTTTTTCATCAACATCATCTTTTTCATCTTCATTATATGATTGTATACCAAGTTTAGCTTCTTTTGCTTTTCTCATTCTCTTCAATTTCTTCTTTACAGACATAATACCTGAAATTTAATTTTAAAAAATTCAATTAACAATAAAAATTTTTAAGCAGTAACTAATTTTTTTTTTTTTTTTATACTTACAAGTTACAGTTTTCAAAAGTTCAGCTTTTTTTCTGCTTTGTACATTCGGTTGCCTAAAGAATGTGTTTAAATTAAATTTATTTGTACAATTTTATTATTATTTTTAAAAAGATTATTCAAACGAAATTTTTTAAAAAAAAAAGAAAATTACTTTCTTAATAAGGCCTTCTGTTCCTTTATCCTATTTAAAAAGTCAATTGATTCTTTTGACAGTGGAGGGAAAAAATACACATCAAAGCCTTCAAATAGTTTCAACCACACCTGGAAAAAAAAAAAAACTCAAATTTTTTCTAAAAATTAAATATCATTAACTTTTCATAATAAAATTCAAAATTAATTAACCGCTGTTCAAGTATCTTAAAGTAACAAATTTAAAAAATATAACATTTATTCTTACCGAATTCAAACACTCTGAAATAAACCACATCCATATTTGTAATCTTTCTGTCGGATTTTTATTATTACTTCCCCATAATATAGACTTTGGCACAAAATAAATATAAATGTAACTCCTATAAAAAAAAACAAGAATAAAGAAAAAATATTTTTTTTTTAAAATTAAATATATATGTCAAATAATTCCTATAAATATTATCTAAACTCACCAGGTAAGACAATGACAAATGAATAAAATTTTTACTATTATTAAATGTATTTGCTTATTCCAAAAGCATAAAAGAAAACGACACGTTGATAAAATAGTTGCATCTACAACTTTTAAAAGCAATAAAAGAAACACTGCTAGATCCAATCTAAAAAATAATATAAATAATAATCATTAATTTGTATTAAAATATTAAAATTTTAATTAACAACGAAATTGAATAGAATTTTTTTTTTTTTTAATTTACAATTTTTATTAAAAGAATTGTATTATTTCTAAACTTTTTTTTTTTAAATATAATTTTTACCTTTCTGAATAAGGATGAAATACCAAAAAAGCAAAGAATAATGTACTGCATCCTTTTAACCAAGATCCAAAAATAAAAATATTAACTCCTGCTTGATGAATATAAAAACTTTTATAGAAGAAAGCTATTAATTTGTTAATATTTGGAAGCGTTGAATTTTTCAAAGAATGAAAAAAGATGTAGAGTAAATAATTTAAAGTTATTATAGAAAATATATAGTCCCATACTGTATTAATGATTCTATTTCTCTGTATCAAAGGAAAGCACTTGCGGCGAAGTAATTTCTGTACAAAAATTTCATATTGAAAATTTTTTAATTTAATGTTAAGTTTATTTTATTTAAATAATAAAAATTTTTTTAATAAAATTATATTTTTCAAATTTTTATTAACCAATTGAAATTATTATTATTATTATTAATTTATTAGATTATAATAAATTATAACTATTATAATATACAAATTTCGGTTTGTAGAAAATATTCACTTACGTTAAATAACTTCTTGTAAATCAAGAACAACAATGACCAAAATAATATCAAATATCCAACAAAAGCATCACTTTCATTTCTTATAAATTTCTTTTTCATCAAATTTTCATATATTTCATTGTTTTTAAATTGAGGAACTAAATTTTTATAATCTAAAAATGTACTAATTTGCAAAGTCCATCTATTTATAGCCTCCTCAAATAACATTTCGCATTAATTATGCTCAATGTCTATTTCCATTTGCTAAAATAAAGAAAAAGTAAAACTTAATTTTGGTCTAAAAAGCACAATGTTAAATATTAAAATTTACAAATTATTTTCTTGTAAATAGGTATATAAAAAAGAGGTTAGGTCAGTTAAATTTAACTTTTATTTTACTTACCTATCAAAGTTTTAATACTTTCATTGACACTTTTTGATTTGTTAAAACTCGAGCATAAAGTTCATAAATTTCACAATATTTATACATATTTCTCACACTTTAACTCTTTATAAATAATAAATTTTTCTAACTTCCTAAATTAAAAGACATCCACACTCAAACATGACTGGTTGCCTAATAACAGGCGTTTACACGTGAATTACTCAGTCGGTAATAAAGAGAAATAATTTAAAAAAAAATATTCACTTTTTTTCAAAAGTAAACAAAAAATTTTTTTCCCTTAAACTCTTTTTGTAGAAAATTTTTGAAAATTTGCTAAAAAAAAAAGATTCTAGCAATATTTTCCACAAAAAATAAAACTTATTTTCATAAAAAAATTAGAAATGTACTTTTTTAATAAAAAAAAATACAAAATAAAAAAAAAAGAGAAAATTTTATATAGGATTATAAATATTCTAATTCCGAAAATAATAATAAAAATGAAAAGTGAATTAGTCATCATTTAATTGTTCCCTTTGTCTCATTTTGATTGGAGATTCTTTAACAGTGTTTCAAGCGGATACAACGCAAATGCGAGTCGTCGACCTCAAAATGCGAAAGCCTTTTAAATCCTTTTCGGCTATCTCGACATTCGAAACTGTTTCCAAGTTCCCCAGACGCCCGCAACTCTCTTTTATCAACTATTTTATATTCGCAGAACAAAAAAAAAAAAAAAAAACTTAAAATTTTCTAATATTAAAAAAAAATTTATTCACTTTTTCTGATTAACATTATTTAGGCCTAATATTCATTTAACCAAATTTTTATTCAACTGAATTTTCATTTGACTAAAATTTTCAATAAGCCGCAAATTCTTCGATAAATTTTAAAATAATCGTATTTTCATTGAACCAAATTCGTCATTTGCCGAAATTTAACCGATTCTTCTATTTCCGACGAATTCCGATGTGAATTCTATATTGCAGAATCTTTCCAAATGGAATATATAAAGAAATTAATTGAAATGTACTGAATACTTAAACGATCAATCAAACCTTGAATTAAACGGAAATTTTTTTAATATAAATTATTCTAAAATTATAAATATTAATAATTTTAACTAACCATAATTTAACCAATCACAGGCCTCGGATCGACTTAAAGGCACAAAAAAAGTTGTTTTAATCGATTTATATTCTAAAAAAAAGTCGATTTTTTTTTATTTTAACAAAAATATTTTACAGATTTTTAAATCAAATTTTTTTTTTTAAATAATAATACTTTTGAAAGGGTTTAAAGTTGAAATTTTTAGAAATAATTGAATTTTAAAAGATTTTGTTAATTTTCAGACAATATAATTAAATTTTACAAAACTAAAAATAATTTATCAAATAATTTCAGATACCATTTTTTTAAATTTTCGATGGAAAATTTTAGAATTAATTAAAGTTTAGAAGCTTTTAAATTCAAATTTTTGAAAATAATTGCAAAATGGTTTCAGAAAGTTGAATTTTTAAAGAATATTATAAAAATCGTTAAAAAAATAATTAAATTTCCGGAGAGTAATAATTGAAATTATTAAATTTCCAAAATTTTTCGATAGAAAATTTTAGAAGCCTTTTAAATTCAAATTTTTGAAAATAATTGAATTTCAATTGAAATTTTGGATAATAGTTTAATTTTAGTTGATTTTTGGTTGAAAATTTTGATATAATAATTAATTTTGAATTGAAATTTTAGGTAATAATTGAATTTTAGTTGATTTTGAATTGAAATTTTTGAAAATAATTCAACATTATTTGATTTTGAATTAAAAATTTTTAGTAATTTTATTTGATATTTTTTTTTTTTAAATTATAAACAATTGTTAAATTTCATAAAAATTTTAATTGAAAAATAATTTGAAATAATTGAATTTGTGATGAATTTCATTTAAAATTATTAAAAATAATTAATTTAGTAAAGAATTTTAGTTACAAAATTTGTTAAATAATTGAAATAAAGAAGATCTGAAGAAGATCTGCATTTTATACTAAAAAAATATATTTTATTTAAAAATTTGCGAGGGGGAATTTACTCAGGTAGTCAAGTGTATACACTCTTCCTGTAATACTTGTGTAATACCGTGTAATAATGCATTATTACGGTGCTGTAATAACGCAAAAAAATCTGTAATATCTCTGTAATAATGTGTAATACTCTGTAATAACGTGTAATAACTTAGTAATAAGGATAATATGAGGTGTAATACCGGTTGTCAAGTGTACACGTTTTTAACTAGTAAATTCCCCCTCGAAAATTTGTTTAAAAAATATAAAAAAAAGTCGAAATAGTCGCATTTTATTAAAATAAGTCGCAAAAAAGTCGAAAAAGTCGTATAATCCGAGGCCTGCAATCATAACAACACTGAATCCATCATCAACTAAAGATCTAAAAAAAAAAATCGAAAACGATCTGATCTTATTCTCCTCTATCATATCATCCAGAAATTATCATCATAAAATTTATTCTAACATATATCTATTTACATTAAGGCAATGACCTATCATCATCATCATATCTTACAGAAAACATGTATTTGAGATTTATTATCCTCATCATCATCATTTAAAGGACCTAATATCATCAACATTTTGATATATAATAAACTATTATCGACTGTAATCAAGGGGGTCAATTTCCGGGAGGGGGGGGGGCAATGGCCCCCTTAAGAGAATCTCCCATCGGCCAATATTATTGTTGCCAAGCCAGTGGCGCCAACTAGTGGTGATGTCCGCAAATTCTCACAGCGTAATGCTCATGCGCAAATGGCATTCTATGTCCCGCCTGCTGAGTGCGGACGTACCGAAATAAATCGAACAACGCTGTGAGCGATCAGCAGTACGGTGCTTGCTGAATGCGACAGCTTTGTCGTGTTAGGCATGATTAAAACGAGTTGTTGCTTTTCGTGGCATTGCGCGAAAAGGAAACCGTGATACGTGCTAAAAGACTGGACAACAGCATCAACAATACTTGGCGTTGCTCGCTGCCGAAGTTACGGATGCATATGGAGGTGCGTAATATCAGTTTTTGTTTTTTATTTATTTATTTTTTTTTTTAATCCTGAAACTCCTTACACGCGTCTTTGTTTGGCCATTTTGCCCCTGTTTCGAATGTTTCATTTTTTTTCATTTATTTTTTCTACAAAAAATGCATTAAGAGGAAAATTTTCCCCAAAAATTGAAAATAAACAAATTAAAATTCTATGACAATATATATATATATATATATATATATATATATATCAAATCTTCGCAGCGGGAGACAATGACGCTCGATTTCTCCTCTAACTACGCAATTGTGTGTGTGTTTTTTTTTTTAAATCTTGTTTTCTTATACCAGTTTATATTGCAAAAAAGAAAGTGATATTTAAAGTGCAAAAATATTTTTAATCATTTATATACATTCACAGCTTATGCGACTACTGTCAGTTGCCAAGTTCAATTTTTCAGATGTTCCAAATTCAGAAATGTTTTTGTTTTCTTTTTGGTTCGCAATTTTATTTTTATTAAACTCATTATAAAACAATTTGTCACTTGGAAAATTTTTGCACTGTACAACTATCTATTCAACTTATAATGTCAATTCAACTTTTGTCTGTTTGTTATAATCCAATGAGGTCGGGCATTCTGCAATACAATTCTGATCTCGTTACTCCACATTGAAAATGCTTCTATCTATCTCTCTCTTTTTCTTTTTCTCTCGACAATGTCAAAAGAGACATGCCCTCGTTATTTATTTTTACTTGCCCTAGGACTTATTTCTTCTTCAACTGATGTTGAACAAATCCATTGATTGTGAAGAATTAAAAGCTTTTATGTTTTCATTGTTCCAATATTTGGGACAATCAAATTTTTCATATAGAGTTGGCGGATGTTTACGTTCAAGCGCCGCGCGACACGCATTTCGACCAGTATAAGACGCGCATTTCTGTTTTGTATACATTCACAGCTGACTTCGAACAAGAGAGAGAGAGGCTAATCTCTTTCCATCATCACGAGAAATCTGTGCGCGAACTCAAATATTACAACAGATAACGTATCCATTGTTTCGAAAACAATTACAAAATAGTCTATAAAAAAATCAATTTTCTAACTCAGATTTTAGAAATTAGATCATGATTGTTATGATATAAATTACAAGGTACAACAAAGATACATACACAACTTTTTCAAATGTAAATTTCTAATCTTTTCAATCATGTTTCTAGTTTTTATTTTAAAAGTGCCTACGCTTAAATTTGCATCACAAGTTTTGATTGAGTTAAAATTTTGAAATTTTCAATATCAAATTCCAATTATAAGAATTAACTGTTAAAATTTAATATTAAACAAACAGAATTTTAACTCCATGAAAACTTTGAGCTTAGGCTCTTTCAATATCCGAAATCTAAACAAAAATCTATTTGTCACAACTATATTATATCTCCGACATATATACACACAGATATATAGATAATTATCAATCGCTTTTTTTTCCCCTCAAAATTCACTATATATTATTTTAATTTTTTCCTTTCGAAAAGCACGAAAACTATTGTAAGTCATTTTCAGAACTACAATAAAAAATAGTCTAAAGTCTGTAGCATATTATTTTGAATCAATAAACAACTATTGATAAAGGTTCTATTTATATTTTCTTATTGTTAATAAGTTTTCTTTTCGTGACACGGAAGGCCAATATTAGTATTTTAAAAAATTCTAATAAAAAATATGAAATTAAAAAAAAAACTCATTATTGAAAAACAAATGTTCGCTTATAGGTATATACATTTTAATTTAAGAGGCAAATTCCTCCTGACCTACCCCAATTTGGAGATACATACATGTTTATGAACATATATCGGCCGCGATTCTTGACGCAGACGCGCTTCACTCGATAGCAACCTAGCAACATGAAAGTGACAGTTAGATATGGCTTTTATAATAGCAGATCATCTAACTCACATTTTAATATGTATTGCATGCATTCAATTTAGATACAATTATAAAAATTGTATAATATGTCTTTAGACAAGTAAAAAATAGACATTATAATATACCTTCTTTTTTTTCACATATTTAAAATGTAATGAGATTTGGGTCACGTTATTGCCGGTGTGTAATCGATTTATTGTATTTATATATATATATATATATATATATATATGAATAGAGCCTAAGTGGATTGTGGTCATACATGTGCCAGGTCAAAAGAAACCAACAGTTTTAACAATAAACTATATAATAAGTTGATGAAAACGAAAAACACTTTCTCTATCTACTTTTTATATGCAAATTGATCCTATTCTAAAGAAAACCATTGCCATTTCTAAAATCATGAAACAAAATTTATGGCATAATCTGCCAAATTCACAGAAATCAAAAACTATATAATTGAATGAAACTCAATGTATATTTATATGAAATAATACAACTTTCTGTAACAAAGAACGCACAATATTATTATAAGTTTTTTTGTTATTAAACAATGTCTTCGTTATTTTACGGCGTTATTCTTTCATTTTGAGGAAACCTATACGATTATCATTTAAATGAACAATTACCATATAAATGTGTCATTTGCCACATGGAATTGTTATTATTAGAGTCAGATGAGGTTGAGAAATCTCAATAAGGGCAAAATTAAGAACATGAAGCAACAACGGACAATGACCTGAAATAAAATAGACTCGCATCCGCTCAGATCCTCTTTGCCTCCTTCTCCTCATCCTCCTACCTCCCCTCCCATCCTATGTTTATTTAAACTGCACTGAACCAGCATCCATCTCTTGATGCTTGTCACTAACCGCAGGTGCCCTCGCAGAGGAAAACCTTCTCTCTTTGTGAGTGAAACGCTTGAAAAAAAAAAAATATATATATATATATATATATACACGTGAACCTGTTGGACGAAGTTGCTTTGTGTATACGTTTACAGCTGATCTCGCTGTCAGCTGTCTGTTATATATCCTACGCTTGCAATCGTTTATATATATATATATAGTGCATAGAAACTCACAAATACATTCAACGATCTTTATATACCGCGTCGATATCGACGAATTAATGAGAAACTTCCTAGAAACCTGGGGTGGGACGTGGGTCGGGCTCTTTGACCTTTTATAGTATTCCCAGTACAGTACTTGCAAGCGCCGCAGCGAGTTTCGAGAAATTCAAGAGAGAGGTGGGGAGGGGGGGGGGGAGGGAACAGAAGAAGAAAAAATTAAACGAGTTTAAATTACAATGAAGTCACTGATTACGAATCAGAACCTAGTTTTTATAATTTCAAAATAACAGATCAAATATGGTGGAAAAATAAAAAATTGATACAATTGTTACCAAACTTGTTATACACTCTCTAAATCTGAATTATTTTACTTTATTTTACCATCTATTATTAATAATATAATAATAATAATAATTTTAGTTAAAAATAACTAATTGTTAGTAAAATCTTAACTGATTTTTTACTTCAGTAATTAATATAAAAAATAACTAATTTTCATTATAGAAAAATAAAGGAAAAAATTTTTAAATTTGATTGATTGAATTAGTTACTTTTTGTTTTTTTTTTTTTTTTTTTTTTTTTATTTCTTCTCTATTGAATTAAAATAATAATACTCCATTGTGAGAAATTTTCTCAGCAATAATTAAGTTTCATGAATTCAAATAAGGAACTGTCTCTTGAGAATTACTTCATTCACGCATATATTGTCCCAGAAGATTCTTTTTTTAATGACAAACTTGAAATTAGTTGAAAATCGTTTCGCAAAATCGTAATTACTGTACAGTAATTAGCAGCAAAATATATATACTTGACTTGCCCCCTCCCCACCAAAAAAAAAATTTAACGCAATTATTAATTACTGTACTTATAAATTATTATTATTATTATTATTATTATTATTATTATTATTATTATTATATAATAATTAAATTAGATGTTAATTATATATGGTAAAATTATGATCTCTTGCGTTATAATATGAGAATTGTCCCTTTTCTATTTATAAAGAAAGTGTCGAGTACCAAAGACAGCACACGTGCTTTTCAAAGGAACATGTCATTCAAATGAAACAAATGCAGTGTATTAAAGCATTGACAGATACTTTCAAACATATGCTTACAGAGTGAGAATGCTATCTTTATGTAAAGGTCTTTTCGTATCAAGGTCGATGCTCTTCTCCATATGATCTTGCATAAAGAGATAATGACAAAAACAAGAATCACGAATATATTTAACGCCTTTATATCGCAATTTAATTTCATATATGTAATATATACTCTTTAAATTTGAATTAGTAGTTTTCTACTAATAAAAGAGTGCGGATTCGTTTACCAATTAAATTAGTAACAGTTTAGACTAATTTGTAGTAAAAAAAAAACTACTAATTGCTAGTAGAAAACTACTAATTCATATGGAGTAAGTCGTATTTTTTACTATTTCAAATTAGTAAGCCGATTTACTCCATGAATTAGTAGTTTTCTACTAGCAATTAGTAGTTTTCTACTAAAAAAGAGTCGCAAAACTGTTACTAATTTAATTGGTAAACGAATCCGCATTCTTTTATTAGTAGAAAACTATTAATTCAGATTTAAGAGAGTATCACTCTATACTCTCTAAATCTGAATTAGTAAAAATGTTTACTAATTTGAATTAGTAAACTCACTTTTTGCTTCTAAATTAGTAAAATTTTTACTAATTATTAGTAACTTTTACAAGCAATTAGTAAAAGTTAACTAATTCAGAAGCAAAAAATGAGTCACTAATTCAAATTAGTAAACATTTTTACTAATTCAGATTTAGAGAGTATATTATAAAAAGATTTAGCCGCCGCTGATTCAGAAATTTTGACAAAGATGGGTCATTCCATGTCAAGTCTACCCAACCCATGTTTTTTTTTGGGTTAGCCATGTTTTTGACATGGATAGTACAATGGTTGGTTACACTTGATATGGAATGACCCATATGAATATAGCCCCTCCCTCGCAAAAAATGACCTAAATTTTAAGGTTATGTTCGTTTCAAGAA